AGCGTGAGGGGAAAGCCTGGCCGGGAAGCGTGCGCTGGAGGGTGGTGAAGGGAAATAAGTAAAATTCCAGCGTTTCCTCGCCATTTCCCCCTCCCTCGTCGCCGACCGGGAGCCGGCGCGCGCCGCTGCGGCTCCCTCAGAGCGGGGGACTGAGGGAAAGGGGCTCAGCCGCCGCCCGAAGGCGTTCTGCCGTTCATCCTGAGGGGAGCCCGCTGGCTGCCCGGCCCAGGCAGGCGTGAGACAGTGTCTGGCTAAACATAAAAAGCATTTTTTTATCCGTAGCCGGTCACGAAAATGTCAGCAGAGGCCTTGCGGAACTGCTGCGAAACTTAGGTGCCTGTTAAAGTTGGTCGGCTTTCACTCGTTTCAAAATAAAATGCAAAGCTTTATTATTAGCTACCAGGATGGTCTGTATAAATGTTAATAAGCCCGGGGTTTTTTTAGAAGCAAGTTAACAATTGCATAGTGGAGCTTCTTCACTTATTAAAAGGCCAAAAACATAATTCCCTGTAATTGAAAGGCTCTAATGTGTAGATTAATACACTATAATGTCATTTATACATCTGTGTTACATCCCAAGCAGTAAGATTTTTTTTGAAACGCGTCGCCAGGTCTCGGACAAAGGTAGTGAACCTTATTCCTAACGAAGTTTATTCCGAGGGTCAGCCGTGTCGACTGGCTCACACAAGGGATTAATTTGGCCGGTTTTGCTTTCCCTCTTTAAATTGGAAGGTCAAGAATAAATTTGTTGTGTCCACGCATCTGGCGTTCAAGAGTTTTAATTGAAGAGGCTGGAGCTTTGTTCTCTGCAACCGCGTGTGACAACTCCCAGCTTCTTTCATTCGCAGTGTGCATCTAAGGGGCTCTGCTTTTGGGCCGTACCCAGCTGAGCACCGAAGGCATTAACCCTCTGGGACTACGCCATCTAATTCAGAAAGCGTGTCCCCATGATTAATTCACGTAAATAAGCCAAAGGCCCTGTGGTGGTGTTCAGCACTACTCCCTGATGCTAAGGTGTTAAGGCTGAGGTGGGAAACAAACACATCTTTGAGCTGTTGTGTGAAACACGGTGTCTCTTCAGGCAGAGACCTCAAAAGATCAGACGAGCTCTTCTTGTGTTCTTGAAACGAGTCTTTTCTGTCACTGAAATCAGTGACAAAAGTCCTATGGACTCCTATGGGAGCTTCTGTAAGGACACTCATATGCAGCGGGAGGGCGTATATTGTCGTGATCCGTGGAGAAAATGAAATCGGGAAACTCTTTATGATCCCCGTTTCTCCTCTCCCAGTGATTTAGGTGTTAGTAACCTGGTCATTTTTCTGGTAAATGTTCTTATTAGATTGTTTCCCAACAGCCTCGATAAAAAAGACTCGCAAAAAAATGTATGACGGTGTAACATGAAATCATCTCGCAAACCGGAGTGAAAACTGAGCGATTCAGTTTGCTCATTAAGTAGGCTACCTCACATGAGCAGATGTAAAAACCGAAAGAAAGACCTGCTTTCAAAGAACAAGTAGCCTGGTGGTAAAACCACAAGCCTGGGATGTGGGAAACCCACATTCCCATCTGTGGTGTGAAAGAGGCAAAGAAAGGATTTGGATGCAGATGTTCAGCAACTGAGGTAAACGCCCCGATCAGCAGTTTTAGGACAGCCGGATCTCACTTTCGTATTTTGCCCCCGCTAGGAAATCTATTGGAGTGTTGCGGTTCTCCCTAACGCGGTGGGAAAACGCCAGCGTACCAGGAAAACTTGCCAGGTTCTGCACATAATGCCGGTGTTCCACAAACAGCTCGGATGGTTTGTTCTCATCTGCAGGGGGGAAGCTGTTCAGCTTTAAAGCCACACAGCCACAGCTGGGGTCAGAGGAGTATCCGGGAGCAGCTGCCTTCGCTAGAACCTTCTCTGTGAAGACTTCAGGTCCCGACGACAGCTTGAGTCGCCGTATCTCCATAGGGTATCAATGAAATGTGCAAACAGTCATTTTGCATATCGTCGGGAGGGAAAATGAAGTGTTCGGATTCCGGAAAAAGCAGAATGCAAAGCTTGATGATGATGGTTTTTTGTGCACAGATTTCTTTATAAATGTCTATTATGAAATTGCTGTTTGCTTTAATTAAATTTCATTTAGGAATATCTTCTCAGGCTTACATGTGAAGCAGTTTGAAAACAAGCTGAAATAAATGAGCGGATGCAAACTATTAAGTGCCAGCCCGTACACTGCATTGATGTGAAAGCCGGTGGAAAGTCAGCACAAGCGATGCAAAGCCTCCTAGCTTGTGCAGAAGTGCTGCTCTATGAGTTACCGACTTCATTCTAGTGATCATTTCTGCAGTGCAATTTGCACAGAGAATTCTGAACATGGGCAAAGAAGATGCACGTCCTCAAATCCCAAAACACTCCAGTGTGCTAGAGCTAAATACTTCTGTTAAATTAAAGCATCAATTCAAAGGCTGCTACACATTTGCATTAAAATATTCCAGTGCCAGTCTTCTGGATCCTCCGTGGATAAGGATCTTTGAGGGCAAATCACCAGTCACAGCTCCTTACTCTGACAAGATGCTTCCCTTATGGTACCAAGCACTGGGCCAAGTATAATCCCATCAGCTACATATTTACGCTACTCAGATTTGCCCAATCTGAAACATTATACAATAAATTCAGTGAGATTTTGAGAACAGATGAGCTTTCACCACCCGTCAGCAGTTGCGAGGTGGGGGGGGAGGAAATGTAAAATACAGCTCCAGCCCCAAGATAACTGGGAAGCCTTCCCTGTTACCAGCGAGTGTCAGACAAGCTGAGACAGGAGTTAATTTTCCTGTGGCTTTTCCTGGCGCTGAACTCTATGCAAAGCAGATGCAAAGCCAATGTAGAGTTCCTACAGGAAGATAAGTGGGTTTGTGCAACTTCAAGTCGCCTGCCATGAATTAGGAATATTAGTAAAGAGAATTTTTCTGTCACACGTAGATAGGCCAGGGGTCCCTGGCCCATAGGGCCAGCAGTCATGCATACGTTGTCAGATGACCGCCCGTATAGATTCAGTCCTGGCCGTGCATAAGCACAGAGTTATCCTTCAGTTGGTTTAGCCAGAGGCCACAGCACTGGCGTTAATGGTCGTTTCGTGCTTTTAGGCCACCATTACGGCACTTCGCGCAAGGACAGACACTACCTGAAGTGTTTACAGGACAAGGTTTCTGAAGACATTTGACCTGGCTGTGTGAGTTTATATGGGCTGTGGGTTTTGTTTTATGCAGGCACGTTGTTTTGCTCTGGTGTAAGATTCCGTGTGTCACCCAGGAGCAGCATTTGAGACGTTGCTGTCGTTTGGGATGTACCAGCCTTCGGTTTTTACTTTTCCCTCTTCTCCTCCCAGGAGAATTAAGACTTTCAAGGAAGTCCTGACAACTTTGTTATGCTGCCCTATCATTGTTAAGACCACCTACAGAAGATTTTTCTTTTTAAGTCCTATCTATCTAGAGCAATACAAATGCCCTTACA